TGGCAAACTTCCGGCTATGATGAGCCCAGCTTTGTCTGTTATGATCCATATCTGACTTGGAGGAGGCATGAGAAAAATTGCGCTCTCAGATACAGACCCTCAATGGCTAGACCTGGAGATGTTCCAGTGAATCTGGCCCTCGTATTACATTGCAGAAACAAATAAACTTTGCTAGCAAAATAGTTGCATCATTCTTCCTTTAACTTTCAATTATTTTAAATACACTTATATTGTATACATAGTTATGTTATATAATTTTAGCTGTTTACAGAAAAGAGGGACCTATGGTTTCAAAAAATCTCAAATTTAGATTTTGGTACCACTACTTAGAAGTGTTTTCTTTAGGGACATTCAGAGAAAAAAACATTCAAACATGACATTATGATAATGACATCAACATAAATATAAATAATATAAACATGATATCAGAATTATGACGGTTTGAAGACGACCGCGGCTGAAAATACTTCATTTTTCAAAGTTGTACAAATACAATGCACCTCTACACCTTATAGCATAAAAATTCAGTCTTTTATTCGTTATTTGCCGTTTAAATTATTGGAGATATTTTTTTGGTCTATGACACAAATTCCAATTTTTAAAATTAATTAATTAATTAATTTTTTTTTGTCTTGTTTCTCGAGAACAGTCACATTTTTGGTGTGTCGGATACACTAAAAATTGTCAAAAAAAATTTTTTTTGGACTATTTTGTCAATTTCCCCCCCCCCTCTCTCATACTCCTTGGAAGGAGTCCGCGCACACCCCTTGGAAATCGGCGGCTGTTTTGAGGGGGGAGGGGTACAAAGCAATGAAACAGGGAGGGAGCTCGTCAAGTACTTGGGTGGGGGGAGAGGGGTGGGGACAGAATAGAGGAAGAGTAATAACTTTCTGAAAATAGAATCTATCTTAATTTAAAATCGAAAAGATTCCCGCCGTTTCAAGAAAGAAATAATTTTTTCACTAATTTGGTTCCAACGTGTACGGAGCCCCGGCACCTCTAGCATAGAAACCTAAATTTCGCCTGGAATACGTTTGACGTCAACCAGCCGGCGGAAGTTCTAAGAAATGAAATTTCGTCAAAGAGCCGTTGCGTTGGCACGAGAGCAGTTTAAAAGGGTGCGTTTGAAAGCATATTGAAGTTCAGAGGAAACCCTATTCTCAGAGAGTGGAACACTTTCAAAATGAGTGCAGATTCTATTTTTGAGGGATGTGCAATATTGGTGAACTTGCATCCGGGGTTCTCCTTCATCAAGAAAATGGACAGCATCACGCTGAAGAAAGGCGTCTACCTGCTCTACTTCGGTAATGGAGCACTCTTACTCGATTAACTTAAAATTAATTTGTTCACATCGCCGACAGGAAAGCTCTTTATAAGGACCTTTTTTGCCATATATGAGTAAACAAATTATAATGCTGAAACTAAGTTTTTATGAAGGGAAAAATAATGTATCTTCGTTCCAAGATTGTAATTCAATTTTGAAGTTTTATTGCAAGATGAGGGGTGGATTTCAGTGTCCAAAAGTGGGTCTGCTCCTGATTTTCCCCCGAAAGTAGCCAGGGACAGCTAAACTTAATCTGAATTACTCCAAGGGATAACATTGCGCTAAAAATTAAATTGCAGCAAGCGCACATAAATAATAACCGTTTTCAGCTAATTTCAGCGAGAGCAGGAATAAAGTATTCAAACCGAATTCTATATAGTTGGTGTTGCGTTCAATATAACGTATCCTAGGAATCTTAAGAAAATCGGTTTTTTGTTCCCTCTATGTGCGATATCCAGGACTGAGACGGCGCGACCCATACTCAGAATAATCGAATTCATTATCACAGAGAAGGTGTTTCTCTGGCAGTTTCTCGTTGTGTTCAAGAGAATCACGAAGTCATTACGCAAGTCTCCTGCGAGCTTATTACTGAAATTGATAGACAAAGCTATAGACAAAGATGATAAAATGGATAGGAAGGGATCCTTCTCTGCCGTGCAAAGGAAGAACGCCGTGTGAAAATTCGAGAGTTGCCAAATTTCTCTTGATAAAACATGTATTAGTGGCGACATTCATGGACATATTTCTTTGAAATTTTCAGATATTCCAGATTAAATTGCGTACAAAATTGTCTGAAATTTTTAGAGGAAAAAAGATTCACAATGCTCCCAGTAAATTCGGTTTTTATCGGAGGAAACGATGGAGGCTCATACGGCGTTCTTCCTTGACACGGTAGTATTGGTGGAAGCGGGTGGTTCCAATAGAAAGGAGGTAGGTGATAGACTAACTAACGACATCCCCCGAGAGACCCCAATAGTGAGTCCATCATTTACCCCCTTAGTCTAAAAGAGCAGCCCGTTTTAACCAATAGAATCGCTCCATAATCCTTACATCTTTTTTGTGTGTAGTTTTGTCTATCAATTTCAACAATCATCCCGCAGTAAAGTGGACATTTCAGAGCTAGTGATACTCCTCTCTAAAGGAGGCCGACGTGGATTTCAGAATTCTCCCGATGCGCGCGATAGTTCCCGTCGACAAGTCTAACTTCAAACTTGTCAAGTAAGTCACTGATGCAATTCCGTCTTGCACTGCAAGTTTCACCGAGTCTTAAACGCCGTTTCGCCGAATTCCACCAAGGCTCATGAAGAGAGGCGGGGCGAGGAGAGGTGGAAGCATTTAAGCCTCGCTCACAGTCATCTCGGAAATCAGTCAGTTAAAACTCGGGGTCGCTTTTGAGATGGATGTCTGAGCACAAGTGAGTTGATAACAATTATTCTGAAAATCGTCGAGGACCCGTCAAGAGAGACTTCAAAGAGTTTCGCGGAAACGAGCGATGCAGTTGTCAACTAACAATAGGGGGCAGGGGGGCGAGGGGGGAGCAAGGGGGGCAGGTATCATAAAAAAGACCGACGCATCTTTGAGCACGATCCGTCTCAAAGTTCATCATTATGCGACGTTGTCAGATGTTGGAGGAAGTCCAAGAATTCTGGATTTTTACCGCGGTGGAGCGTGGAAAGAATTCCCACTCTTGGCACCGATTCCCGAATCGGAGCGTTCGCTTTTGAACTTTCAGATATTGGACGCACGACACAATAATAGCAGGCGGCAATTATTCCATTCAATGAATCGAATAGACTTTTCAGTGGCATGGGAAAAAATAATACAGGTAAATAACGATATTTCATACAGCCACTCCTTAGAGACGAATGTAGCAAGCAAATTTTAATCAATTGCAATTGGACCGAGTTAGGCAGAAAGGAACCAAGCCACATCAGCTGTTATCAAATTTAATTGGGATATTTAATTTTTTACCGGACGATTGTGCGGATTGATGTGCAAATTTCAATGAATTTTCTGCATAGTACGAGGCAAGTTACTTTCAATTTTGCAAAGCATTCGCACAAATGCTCTCTTGTGAAAAATTAAATTGCCTAATTAATTTTAGCAATTGCTAACGTGGCTCGATTCCTTTTTGCTTGGTCCAATTACTACATGGTAAAGTTGTCATGCTAGTATTGGAATGTTGGAGGTGAGGGGGAGTTGTCGGCGGTACTCGGCTTAGTTTTGTGCATGTTGTCCATTCACTAATTGAAGGGGCTCCTCTTGAATTGACAATTGAAGTAAGATGCATTTTTTTTGCACTGCTGATTGCCCGATTTTCACACTTGTGGATCTCATTTTATTTGTATGATCACTTTGGAAGAGACGTGGGATGAGTGCAGTTTTTTTTTAAAATCGAGATAATAATTAATTTCAACTGAAACTAGTCTTCAAATGTATTCTGAGAAAAATTCACCATTAAAATCCTATTTTTAAGCTACACTACGTGAGATTGAATTTTGTTTCCGCCATGAGGCTCCACATGGTTTTGAACACGTATTTCTTGAAACAGCAAAAACAGCACTTATCTCACTTGTCCTGTAAGTCCCTCACTTACAACTGGCATTTACAGACCAAATGACGTAATACTATCACATGGTAAAAAAATGGCAACTTAATCTCAAACTGCAGTCAATCTTGAAGACTATGTGAACGGTTGCAATGTATCACTGTACAGACTAGGTCAAAATGCACTCACCTCAGTACAAACATTAAAGCATGTACCCAATCTTAAAGGCACTCGTTAATTCCGCGTTCAAGAATTGACACCAGAATTTCCTATTGTCTGAATCGTGCTCAACGTAAGATTTTGAATAGAAAACATGTGCATTTTTTGTGATTGAGACATTGTCTCGGTCTATCATAAAATCAAACGCGGTTTCGGTGATAGCTGCAACCCGCCCGCCGAGAAAGCCGCGGCGTGCTACCAGCACGAGACGCGCTCTAACGCCTACAAACCTAAGGGGCTACTTCACGCATTGCGCAATGCTTGAAGTATCCCCTTAGGTTTGTAGGCGTCAGTGCTCGTTTTGAGCTAGCAGCACGCCGCGCCGCGCCAGCATGCTATAAACTTGCCCACAATGAATAAGTCAGGGACAGCTGCAACCTATCATTACGGCGTCTACATGCAATTAAAGCTGCTCTGCGATTGTCCCTGTTACATAAGCACGTAAATTGAAGGCGCACTGAATTAGACGCATTAATGGGTCTGTAGCAAGCAAGAGATACAACAAAACAAATGTACTATTCACGGGTAAAATTGCACAAAAATCACTTTGAGCACGTCCAAAAGGTCTGAAATCCATGCCTTAGCGCCGCACTCTGCGTAGTTTGTAACATGTTTTTCAAGTTTCTCGTGTACGCGGGCAGTTTTTCGCAGCCATCGCCGACCAAGTTTGCACAGGCAGAGGAATAAAATAAATCTGAATAAATTGAAACTGAATAAATACCGAGATTTCTCGGTAAAATTACCAATTCCATAAATGGTAATTTTACCAAGAAAAAACTGAGATCAAATAGAACCCTGAATTCTTGGTAATTTTACCCTTTTCTCAGTAAATACACCGAGATTTTTCTTTCAGTGCGATGAATTTCAAGAATGAGCCGGCTGCTTGGAAAGTTGAAAGTAGGTACTCACAGTTATCTGGAGCAGTGAGTGATCCGCTTGAGCACTTGGATGGAGGTGCGGATCTTGTGGACGACCTCCTCCTGCATGAGGTTGAAGCACATGGCGATGAGGGCCATGCCGAGCATGAGGTAGAGGGAGCAGAAGATGAAGCTGAGCTCGATCATGGCCTCGGGGCCGCCTCCGCCGCCTCCGCCGGAGCCGTCTCCGGAGGTCCCGCCGCCGGTGATCTTGTCCCCGGGCACGATGTCCCCGAAGCCGATCGTCGAGAGGGAGATGAAGCAGAAGTACGAGCCGTCCAGCAGGTCCCAGTCCTCCCACTTGGAGAACAGCGTCGCCCCGCCCACCACGTACCTGCAAAACCATCCATTCAACATCCATAATTGAAACATATTTGAAAAACGTACAACCACATTCCTAGGGGCCCAGATGCATGTAGTAGGTGAGGGAAAAAGTTCACCTTTCGTTGAGTAATGGAGATGTTGCATGTGTGAGGGATTTGCGATTTGACCGTTGATTCTTAAGTAAAAGTTCGCGAGAAACACGATGGTGCCACTGGTTTTCTCTAAAATCAACTCCCAAGCTCAAAAAAAGCTCTCAAGTTGAGGCCAAAATGGAGGGGATATCCTAGAGTACCTGTATGGGGAGAGTAGCGACAGATCTGAAACTCCGAAAGTCCATCAGGCCTTCTCCGATGCCTCCGCGAATAAAGTTAGGGCCCAAAAGGGCAGCCAACCTATGAATTTCGAATGTCCAGAGCGATTTACAAATACAATTGTTACGAACCGTCGTTTAGAAAGCATGTATTTGGTTTACTTTTTGCATGAATTTACTTATTTTTGCGAAAGAACGCTCATTTATGTACATTCTTAGCCATCTTGGTTAGAATTGAAATCTGTAGGCTGGCAGTGAAATTTTGTGTGTTAGAAGTTGCTCAGAAGGGTGGCTGCACTTTTGGGCCCTAAGCCCTCCATGAACCGATCTGTCGCTACTCTCCTTATACAGGTACTCTAGGATATCCCACCCTACCCTGAGAGTCCACTTCTACATCAAAACAAACTCTCCATGCGAAGATAGGGAGCAAATACATTAGCAGGGTTGCTGTGTTTTTAGTTTTAGAGCCTCCAAATGAAAGTGGCAGCCCTGTCAATGTATTTCCTCCCTATCTTTGCATGGAGAGTTTGTTTTGATGTAGAGGTGGACTCTCAGGGTAGGGCGGGATATCCCCTCCATTTTGGCCTCACTTTGAGAGCTTGTTTTGAGCTTGGGAGATGATTTCAGAGAAAACCAGTGGCACCATCGTGTTTCTCGCGAACTTTTACATAAGAATCAATGGTCAAATCGCAAATCCTTCACACATGCAACATCTCAATTGAAACATATTTGAAAGACGTACAACCACATTCCTAATGGGGCCCAAATGCATGTATTATGTGAGGAAAAAAGTCCACCTTTCGTTGAGCAATTCATTCAGTGTGAACGCAATCTGACGGATAGATGACTAGTTTAACTCATAGGCGATGTGGGGAAGTATTTACTTTTTTGAAGGCGCTTCGCCGCGATCGGAAATCTTACAAGAGGATATCACTAAATGAGTTCTCCCGTAAATGATCACATCGTCACCCTCTGATCAACGTATCACAAGCGGAATGCGACGTTCCAAAATTCCCGTCGCCATTTTATTTTCTAACAGAGAAATTGCTCAACAAAGCGGTTCGAAAATCTCACTGATTTTTCTGTGAGCTGCCGATAAAATTCAGTGAAATTTTCAAACAAATTTAACCAACGGGTTCTCTGTGAAAAATGAAATGGCGGCAGAAATTTTGAAACGTAGCCTGGCGCAACGTCCGATTGGTGTAATCTTTATTCTCGTTTGTGACATCCATAAGCCGCGTTGTCTCAACTCTCTCTATAAAGGGATTCTACCTATGAATATGCTCGCTTTCGACTATTCGGAAGAATGACGTCATGGCGGAACCCTCCGCATTCAACATGCAGTCGTTTGCGAGCGGGGCACCGCACAGCCACCTTGAACCGTAATAGAATTCACCTGGGCTAATAATCCGACGCGTCGCGGGCGGTCGGCGTCGCGGCGCGGCGCGACGCGGCGGCGTGACACGCTGAGCGAAAATATTTACCCCGTCAAATGCGGCGACCGAAATGGAGTTTAAATTGGGCCGGCGGCGCGCCGCAAAGTGGATTGAGCCTTCCGGGGGATCGGACTTCGAATTTTTGGACGAAACAGCATAATTGAAAGTCACGAAATGATTTTAAAACGTCGCTATAGAGTGACAATTTTACGGGAAACCCAATGAAACCATTTTTATACTTCCACGTTTCATATTACGCGGCTTTCGAAGTCTTTACGTCATTTTTGACCTCTCCGATTGGCTGGCTCCACTGTGCGGCGGACGGAGAACAGGCCGGGAGCCCCGAGACGGACAGGCGGGGGGAGGGGGGGCTGGGGCCCCCGCACCCTGTCCCGGTGACAGGCCTATGAACGGCCGACCGTCGCACAGTGAATCGAGTGAACGGGGGAGGTCGCACATAATTTAAAACGTTTAAAAGTGTATATCTTCATTTATACGAAATGTTGACGTTTTAAAAATGGTTGCATTGGTTTTTTCGTAAAATTTTCTATAAAATGCACCCCTTGAAATTAAAATTATGACGTAAAATATTACAATTTTTGTCAAAAATTTCAGGTCTGACCTCTTCCAAAGATTCGTTTCACCGTGCGTCGCCAATGCTGGATAAAAGCGACTTTGACGGGCTTAACCAGAATTAGTCCAACTACACTAGACGCTTCGTAGATTCCTCCTATATTTCAATATAATTTAACGAAAAAACCAAACAAAAAAACGAAGCAGCATTTTGCCTCGAAATCTCGTGAGTCTGTTTTTCTCAAGAGAGGGAAAATTGGCAAAAATTTTAGTTCCGTTTTCTGTTTAAATTAATCTAATATGACAACGTCAAGATGCGGTTGAGCTATGCTCGTTAAATCTGGTCGCTTTTCATAGTGAACGATAGCGCGGCAGGAGGTTTTCTCCGAATATCAGTTTTCACGCTAGAATTCCGCTCCCGTTTACTCAAGGTAATTCTAAAGCGTTAAGCAAGCACTCATCGAGAATTTACACATTTGTAGCTGGTATATGTACTGGTTTTACTTGATATTTTTAGGATTTTTGGACTTTTTTTTAATATTTTTGGATCTATCACGCCGAGAAATATATTTCAATAGTGTTTTTCCCAAAAAATTCGCTTTTAAAACTTATAATCAAGTTTCAAATACGTGGATAAGAAAATTAATCGTTCGATTTGGCTGCTAGATTAAGTTTACTTTTCGAAGTTGACAGAGCCGTCGCGAGAATGATTAACTGTCACCCACGCAAATGCATGAGTCATGAAATTCTGGTATTTTTACAATTTCAAGGTGTCTACTGCATTTTCAATTTGGGAAATCCTTATGAAATCCTGATTTCTCCTGGTTATTGACTAGTAAATCCTGATTTTTTGCGGAAAAAATTAAAATTTCAATTCACTTCACGCAAAGCAAATGTAACTTCATGAGAATAGCTCAATAAAAAAATCCGATCGGACGGCCGACTTTTCACTAATCCTGATTTTACGACCGATTTTTCCGAAAATCCTGATGAAATTGGGATTAAATCCTGATTGACCTCAAATCCTGATAGAATCGGGAAAATCGAGAAAATCCTGATGCTAGATACCCTGTTTATTAATTTTCCCCGTATTGATGACTTTTGAACTCACCCGACCATGATGATTAAACAGAGAAACACAGGTACAGTAACCGTCTGGGGGTCGCCGTTGAAGGAGATACTATCTTCGTCATCGCTGTCCTCTCCCTCTGTTGTTTCACCTATTTCATCCTAAATCAATATAAAAAACTAGAATTAGAACATTTTCAGTTTTGTAGTAATCTAATCATGGCTAGATTTGTCCTTGCCGTTAATAATTCCGAGCTGAGAAGAAAACAAAAATTACATTTTCATAGATACGTAGGATTAATCTGTCTAATTCAGTGCGCCTTCAATCTGGGTGCTTATGCAACACGGTCAGTCGCCAAGCAGGTTTAGTTGTATCTAGACGCCGTGACGATTCGTATTTGCTAGTACTGACAATGACACCGAGTTTAAATCGTTAATAATGGACCACTGGAGGTCTGAATTGGAAGAATAAACTGTACAGGTTGTCTCTTTCAAATCTTGCCTAGAGAACGATTCAAACACCCGGAAGTTCTGGAATCAATTCTTGAACGAGATATTAACAAGAGTTTTTAATGCGCATCAAATGAAGGCTAGATTGTAAAAATAACGTCAACAATTGTCCTTATTCTTTTTAACCAATGAGGATTGTGAACACTTAAAGGACTCACGCAGAAATTGAGACACGGCCTTACGTCAAAGGAGCGACAATAGGACCGCGTTTAGCAGAAAGTAACCAAGCCACATCAGCTATCACCCAATCTAATGTAATCGGACAATTTTATGTTTAACATGAAAACGGTTGTGCGGATTTCGTTGCTAATTTCAGTGAATTTTCTGAATAGTACGAGGCAAATTCCTAGAAAATTTAAATTAAAATCCGCAAAAACATGCTCTTGTAAAAAATTAAATTGCCCAGTTGAATTTGGCAATAGGTGATGTGGTTTGGTTCCTTTCTGTTAAACGCGGTCCAATTTATGAAGAACATCGTGGATAGAGTACCTGTATAGGGAGAGTACCGACAGATCGGTTCATGGAGGGCTTAGGGCCCAAAAGTGCAGCCACCCTTCTAACCAACTTCTAACGCACAAAATTTCACTGCCAGTCTGCAGATTCCCATTCTAACCAAGATGGCCAAGAATGTACAGAAATGAGCGTTCTTCCGCGAAATTGAGTAAATTTATGCAAAAACTGAGTCAAACACGTGCTTAATAAAGGACGGTTCGTAACAATAGTATCAGTAAATCGCTCTGGATAATTGAAATTCATAGGTTGGCTGCCCTTTTGGGCCCTAACTTTATTCGCGGAGGCATCGGTGAAGGCCCGATGGACTTTCGGAGTTTCAGATCCGTCGGTACTCTCCCTATACAGGTACTCTAATCGTGGACCGAGCACCCACCTGCCAGTGACCGGATCCCCTGGAGTTGTGTCTGCGAGCCATCCTCGAGGCTCTCTTCTTGTAGGGACAGCCTCTGCAGAGACAGCACTTGGCGTAAATCCACTTGAAGCTCGTCGCCAGCAGGTCACCGATGTTGGACAAATACAGCAGGAACAGAGGAACACCCCCGATCGCGTACAGGATCGTCACCAGCTTTCCCCACACTGTGCGTGGAACGTTGTTACCATAACCTGAAATTCAACACAAAAAAAAATTAAGTTGAAGGGCTACTTGAAGAAGGGCGTAACCATCAAATTTCGAGAAATAGTGAGAAAAAATTGATTTATTCGACAGTTCATTATATTTATGTCCGCGATCTCGATTCAGGAACAAATTTGAGGACTGCAGCGAGTAAAAACGTCCACTGTACAGATACAATTTTCCATGTTTGATGTCACCCTGTGTCACTCTGTGTTAAGTGAAGTTATTTTTTTTGTGTATGTCAGGTCAACCTAAAAGACTTGGTTGCTCAACACAGTTTTGTATTAGATTGACCCAAACCGTGATGGACTTATGTGCTCTTGTTTTCCTCCGCGGCTTGTGAATGGCTAACGCATTGGACTTCCACCAATGCCACTTTGGTCTGGGACCTCTGAGAGCGCCGAATCATGGCCAAAAATCCGAATTTCGAAATTGCGAAAACCTGGCTCAACAGACAGGTGAAAAAGAAGGGGTGTGCTCGTTAGTCGAGGGCCGTAGGAATGAATGGGAATGGACCACTAGACAAGGTACGAATTTCAGCATTCTGATACATGCTCCTTAACCAAAATTTCACGTAGAATACGACGCGCACAACGAAAATTACCGAAATCAACTCCTCTCAAAGATATTTAATTATTATTGATGCGTGAATTCAAACCACCCGCTCGTGAAAACTCAATGCTCTGCGTGATTCACATCGTGCGCTATACGTTATCAGGACAGTCTCTACGGTATGAAAATCTGGCAACCTCAGTCTTGACGCTTTGGCTCAGCTATAGCAAATTGCTTATAGTTCGAACAATACATGGTGGGAAATGAACATTGCTCGATTAAGAAGATTGCTGAAACGGTTGTAGTGCACGATTTGACTCACGTAGAGCTTTGAGTTTCTTGTGAGCGGGCAGTTCAAATTCCTTGTAACCAATGTGAAATAAAAACGTGAATATCTTCGTTAGGAGTTGGTTTCAGTCATTTTCGTCGCGCGAATCGCGTTCTGCGTGAAATTTTGCTGAAGGAACATGTATCAGAATCCTTTAATTCGTACCTTGACTAGTGGTCCATTATAAAACGCCAGTGACGTCAGCGGCAACGAAGCCGTCCCCGTTGTCGCTCTTGATCGGCATTAACTCATGAGCCCTGGCCACAACGTTTATTACCCATGCCCACGGTTCATAAGTGCCACATTCAGTTGGCACATAGTTCCGTTTGACAGAATGTAAAATCTTGCTTTTCCATTTCTCCAAAGCGAACTATTCCCAGTTTTACATCATTTCTTAAGCAGCTTCTACAATCACACCCCATCTTTCCCACCGGTCCATTGTTCTGTTGGATAGAAGTACGTCCAAATACGTGCAAATGTACTTATTTCTAAGATTGAAAATACTGCCGAGCTAAGGAAAAACGCCGTATAAGCGTTTGTCGGTTGCAAAATTTCCTTTGATTAAATACGAATCTTCAAGAAAACCCGTGAATGTATTCCGTTCAATTTTTTGGAGAATTTTCAAAATTTCAAGAGAAAGCATTCATTACTCTCCTCGAAAATGAACATTTAATTGAAGGAAATTTGGCATCTCTCAAATACTATCGTGCTAACAAAGAACGTCGTATGAACATTCGAGAGTTGCTAAGTCTCCTCGAATAGAACATGCATTTATGAGGCTAGTTTTGCATAGTTTTCCTTGAAGTTTTCAGATATTTTAGATAAAATTGTGAACAAAATTGCCTGACATTTTTGAAGAAAAAAATGCACAATTTTCCTGATGAATTTCCCTCATTTTGAAGAAATCTGGCAACATCTATATGCTCATGCGGCGTTCTTCCTTAGCACAGCAGTATAATCGAGTAATATCCAAAAAAAACCTGCGGACGAAAGTCTCCCCTTACCAATGGTCGTGATGACGGTGAGGGAGTAGAGGAAAGCACCGGCGAAGGACCAACGGTTGGAGTGGAAGTCCTCGCCCTCGTAGCCGAACTTCTGGACCTCCTCGATGATCTTGCGCTGGTAGGCCATGAGGCTGGCGTTGACGCGCTCCCGCCATTCCTGCTCCGAGAAGACGTTCACCGAGCAGCAGGTGAGCTCCCACAGGACGTCGGCCGTCCGGTTCCGGAACTCCACTATGTTCTGCACCCGGGAGCTGTACAGCGGGCCCTCGATGTACTGGAACATCACCGCGCCCCCGATCGTGTAGCCCACCACCAGGCAGATGATCCCTATGTTGCTGAACAGGAACGCCACGAACTGACGCAGGTAATCCTCGCACTTCTCGCTCCAGGACTTCTGCCGCCGCCCGTAACGCGGCCCGTAGTACCGCACCGGCTCCATGACCCGCTCCGCCCTTCACTACCCGCACGCACCTCGCACTTTCCGCAGTTGCAATGCTTGCAGACGGCTACTCGACAGTTCGCGAAGGACTTGCAGACGGACTCTGTACAGTTCTCAGAAAACTCGCGGAAGGATTTTCGACTGTTTCCAGAGAACTTGCAGACGGCTTCTTGAAAGTTCTCGGAAAACTTGCAGAAGGGATTTCGACCCTTTCTAGAGGACTTGCAGACGGATTTTTGACAGTTCTCAGAAAGATCGCGAAAGGAATTTAGACTGTTTCCAGAGGACTTGCAGACGGCTTCTTGACAGTTCTCAGCTAGATTGCGAAAGGAATTTAGACTGTTTTCAGAGGAGTTGCAGACGGCTTCTTGACAGTTATCAGAAAACTCGCGGCAGGGTTTTCTACCTTTTCTAGAGGACTTGCAGACGGGTTTTTGACGAGTCTCGGAAAATTCGAAGAAGGGTTCTCGACAGTGCCCGAAGGATTCGCAAGACTCACGACCGTTTGTGACCGTTGCAGAATCGGAGCACTTGCGAACGGGGTCTCGCCGCTTCTCGCGCGACTCGCACGAGGATCCGTTAGAGTTGTAACACTCGTGAACCGACACGAGTCGATCCACGTCCAACCCACGAAAGTTACCTTGCGATTTGGAACACTCACGATCCGACTCGTAAAAATCGCGATATGACTCACAAGGTTGATTTTGCGATCTCTGACACTTGCCGTTGGACTCACGAAAGTTACCGTGGGATTTGAAACACTCACGATGCGACTTGCGACGGGAAACGTCCGGTTTGTATAAGTCGCGATGAGACGCGCTAGGTTTGTCGTGTGATTTCCGACACTCGCTTTGTGACTCCCGACAGTGACGGCACGACTCCCAAGAATCGAGATATAATTTAAAACTAGAGCTAATATCACAGACGGAGGGGCTCACAGCATCACAGGTAACAGCGCCTTGCTGGCTTTTCAAGCTAGCGCAACCGGAACATGGCCTCCTTTTCAGCTTCACTGTAACAGACCGAGAAGGAAGTGTACAAGATTTGTCGAGGGGATTATCTCTGAAATAATTAAAGACCCAATTCCATCAGTCAAAGCGAATCGTATTTAAATATTGGATGAGGACGATACAGTCCGGTGAGGCAGTTACGCTGGTCGTATAATCGCGTTTTGATCATTAATTTGGACCGCGTTTAACGGAAAGGAACCAAGCCACGTCAGCTATTGCCAAATTTAACTGAGCAATTTAATTTTTTACGAGAGAACGTTTGTGTGGATTCGTTTGAAAATTTGAAGGAATTTGCTTCGCACCGTGCAGAAAATTCACTGAAATTTGCACAAAAATCCGCACGACCGTTTTCATGTAAAAAAATTCAATTTTCCAGTTAAAGACAACAGCTGATGTGGTTTGGTTCCTCTCTGTTTAACGCAGTCCATTTAAGCTCAGAAATTAGAAAAAATGAAAAGATCTGTTCCTACGCTAGGTTTCTATGTAGTGGACCCTGGTAAAAATTGGCAGTAGAATCTGTGTTCCAAAATACCATAGACCTAAAGCCGACTGTAAGATTTCCAATAGCTTCTGTAGCCGGCTGTACAATTTCTTATAGCCTTTTATAGCCGATGGCGATTAAGTAACAGCCAGACGATAAAGTTTATACTAAATGTTACTAAATACGAATACCAGGACTTAGTTTTTGGACTACCGCTCTCTTTTTGTGCCGTAGTATCTTGATTTATTTTGCGAGGAAAGCTCCGTACTTTTGAAGGATGCGTGTCATTCTTAATATGTTGGAGCGCCTTCAATTTCTTATGATACTGTGCAATACCTCTGGTGTGAAATATTTGCTTCAGACGCCGTGGCACGCTGCGGCGCGGCGGGCGGGCAGAGAGTGCGAAACGCGCATTGGCGCCTACAAACCTAACAGGGATACTTCACGCATTGCGCAATGCGTGAAGTATCCCTGTTAGGTTTGTAGGCGCTAGTGCGTCGCCGCTCCGCTTTGTGTTAGGCTCTAATATTTAATCTCGCAGAATTAGCGTTTTTCAACTCATGATTTTGAAATGTTTGCACGCTCTGTATGGATTATTCTCATTTTAATTGATGAAAAAAAAAATATCTTTTAAAGGAAAATATAATGTGTATTTTGTAAATATTATGGTAGTTCCGTATCAAACTTAATGATTTCCAAAGCGCACGAATTTCTACACAATTTTGTATAGCCTTTCATAGCCAATGGCGATAAAGTGTAAAGCCCGGCGATGGAACTATAGCCCGACTGTATACTTTTTTTATAGCTTTGTACAGCCCGGCTATATGATTTGCTCCGCTTTCTACAGCCAGCTATATAATTTTCAATAGCCTTCTTTAGTCGGCTATAAGAACTCCTATGGTATTTTGAAACGCAGCTCCTATCGCCAATTTTTACCAGGGGAGGCATCGCTTATCGAAAAATACAACTTAGGTGCGGTCATCCACCGCGGTTATGCATACCATGGTTTTCTCCACCTTTTGTTTTCGTCCATTTTTCACGTCGAGCAACCAGTGCAAAAGTATGCATCACTGATTAGGACGTATATATGCTAAAAGAAACAATGTGCATAGAGTTTGCGTGCGTGTAATATAGTTCCTTTTAGCATAAATACGTCCATTAGTGAAACCAAGGTAGAAAAAACCATGATGTGCACAACCGCGGGATGGCGTTATACGTTGCTTTTTTCGATAAGCAATATCTCCGTAAATATTGAGCATAAAAACTTGGCGTTTGAAGATACAGTATTATTTTTCGCTTTTTTCCGCCTAAATAATCAAAACACGATTCTGAGACTTGCCCAGTTTCTACTCTATGGAAGCTTCGAGACTGGCTGGCGCAAAAAAACTGAAAATATGGAAAATATCTGAAATGCATTAGCCATGTGTTATGATGAGTGTCCAACCTTGTCTAGTGATGGTGGTCCAATGATAGGTTTTGAAGATTGAAGAGGCGACATGGCGAAACTTCCCGATGAAGGCGCTCTAATCCAAAAGTTTTCCAATCCAAAAGTGTATGAGAAATGTGGGACATACGAGATAATGTTTACGTGCGTCAAAAGTGTTTTTATGGCTCGACTCGGCTAAGTAGAGTTGAGAAGTTAATCGACTCCTCGTATCATGTACGAAAGTTAATTAACTTCTTCGCCAGGACTAGCTAAGTCATAAAAAATCTCCCTGCACACATAAACATTTTTTTACTATCCACCAGTTTGATCGAACTTTAATTTCTATGAATAGCAGGCGGTGAGGTTTTTAGGTGGACTGAAAATAGCCAAGATTGAAATGGGCACTTTGGGGAAGACAACACGCAATTTCAATTTTGAGCGACCTTAAAACAAGTTTAAGTCAGTTTGAGTCAGTTTTAGTTTTTCCGTGGTTCCTGGGGATAGGTACCTGAAAAATTTGGTTCATTCGATACTTTTTCAATCATCTTTCACTCTGGAAATACTCGTAGCGTGGCCACTATTGGGATTGCACACAATTATATGCACATGATTTTTCTCTATCTCCTTGAGCGTGCTTTGAGACAAATTTCATGAAAAAAAGTCTATCCTAAAAAAATGAACTAGGGGTAAAAATTTCGGAACACCGTAATACGTGTTTTGTTGCTTCAGCGACAAATGTAACGAGCTGTAATTGAAAATTTGTTTTAATCCTCGGAAAATATAACTTATTTCCATGAAAATGTAATTGAAATTCCTTGAGTCTTTCATTTGGACGTATTTCTGTCAAACGGAACTAAGCGCCATCAGAGGAGGAAGGTAGAGGGGGGCTTGGATTGGCGGCGGAATCGGGCGTCGGGCTCATTCCGTCCTATACTCGGAATGCTTTTCAATGGCGCTTACTTCCGTTTGACAGAACGCGCTATCCGGCATTCCAAATTCCTCAAAAGGAACTCAAATTGGCGCTTAGTTCCGTTTGACAGAAATACATTACGTCCATTTATTCTCTTGCAATATTCACTGCAGCTGCAAATTTACGTTACGATCTTCATCTCGGGAGGACGCAGATCAGTGACCGCACAGTGCCTTCTTGCTCTAAAATATTGATGTGCCCTGGTCAACTTTGGTTAATGTTTACCAATTTCAAGGCATTTTTCGATAGTATTGAATATTTAGTCTCCTTCTGTGACTTGACGAAAATAGGGCCGTTAAATTATATAGGCTTAAAAATATGAACGCATGCGCATTGAGCCGAGCTTAAAAGAAACGCACCAGGTCGCATTGGGGGGGGGGGGGACGGTTGGCAGCAGTTTTGCATTCAACTAGTCGAGTATTTTTTTCTGTCAAAAATTCAAAGGACGAGGAAAATTTTCTTGAAAGTGAAAATTGTTGTTAGACTTTGTGCTTCATTTTTGACTCCAAGGGAAAAGTAACCTTCTTACCTCCTTTTTCGGTTCAAACATGATCCGACTTGGTGCGTTTCTGTTTCACTGGGTCCAATTGGACTGCATAAAGCAAAAAGGAACCAAGCCACATCAGCGATTTCCCAATTCAACTGTTTACAAGAGAACTTTTGTGTCGATTCCTCTGAATATTTTAAGGAATGTTCTTTGCACTGTGCAGAAAATTCTCTGAAAATTGCACAATAATCTACACATCCGATTTCATGTAAAAAATAAAATTGTCCAAGTAAAGGCAATAGCTGATGTGGCTCGGTTCCTTTCTGCTTAACGGGGTTCAATTGGATGACATTTTGCAATAAGGAACCACTATTTCCGGCTCAATTTAGAAACAACTTACGTGCCATTGGTTTCCCTATGCAGATACGTGATTTTTGGGGAGAGCCAGTCATAGTGGTTCCTTATTGCAAAATGTAATCCAATTGGTTCTGTCAAGCCTGCATGCAGAATGTTCACGTGAAGGTGAGGTATAAATAAACAATCAAGAAATATTCATACCTTTAATTGTTGATTTACGCATGCAGAAAAGTGGACGAAGGAATTTGCTGAGGAAGAATACGATAGTGTGCTTCCCGCTAGGAGTTTTCCACGGATTTTGGAGGAGAAACGGACTCACAGCGATCCCGGAATGTTTCCACAACGTGGCCGGACCCGACTTTAGTTCAAATTGCAGCAAAATTTCCATGTTGTGACATTAATGAGCTTTAACATTACTGAAGCAATTTTCCCGCGATGCCCCTCTACTTAGACAAGTTCTCATCAACTGCTCTCTTCCTTTCCACGTTATATCATCTTAGTTATTCCCCTTCACATCAAGGCTCTATCTTTGACGGAAAAGTTATTTTGATGACGTCCAAGCCTCCGCAATTAGAGTTGATCGAAACTAGCACCAACGGCTCTCTGCAATAAAAGAAGGAATAACCATTAGCATTCCAACTCAAAAGAACACAGAGACACAAACAAATGGACCTCGTTAAACAGGAAGGAACCAAGCCACATCAGCTATTGCCAAATTTAATTGGGCAATTTAATTTTTTACATGAAAACACTTGTGAGGATTTTCGTGCTTTCAGTGGGTTTCCTACATGGTGCGAGGCAAATTCCTTAACATTTTCAAAGGACTCCACAAAAATGTTCTCTCGTAAAAAATTAAATTGCCCAGTTCAATTTGGCATTACCTAATGTGGCTTAGTTCCTTCCTGTTAAACGCGGTTCAAATAATCATTAACATGCATTGAAAAGAAAGTTTGGTCACATGTACCAAAGTTCGGTGTTCCATATCAGCCCAACTAATTCGGTTCGTGAAACTGTACTTTCGGTTCGTGTAACCGAACTTGTGCAGTAAAGTGAGCTGACGAACAAAGTTCGGTCATATATGCCGAACGTTCGCCTCGGTCTAATGGTTAACGAACCTTCGTTTCGGTTCATGTGACCAATTTTTTTTTTTTTTTCAGTGAATTTTTACCGACGCAGGTTGGCCAAAAATTAGCTGTTCACTAACTGCATGTTCATCCAATTTAGAACAAATATACTCAGTGCTACTACCGTTTAGACATTGTATGATACAATGTTCGCTGAAGTCAATTTAGAACCCAGTTCAGCAGGGTTGTTTGATCGTTCTGTCGGTGTTACAGTTACGGCTTTTCGTTCTGGGTGGCAGACCTGGACCCGCCACCCACCGTGCCACGTGATTCTGCGGCTTATGCACGCTCAGCTTTCGACTTGAGAAACGGAAATATGAAAGAAAAACGGGAAACGGTGTCGGTGTCGGCGGCGGCGCACGGTGGATCGAGTCATTAGGAGAAGTCGGACAAGATTTGGAAACTTTAACCGCTTATTACTCCGTTTATACAAAACTCTGAGGTTCTGAAAGTGGCTCCATTGTTTCTCTCGTGAAATTTTCTACCAGAAGCACCCTATAAAATTTGAAGAAGTATATATCAAAATTGGCAGTTTTAGTCAAAAATTTCATGTCCGACTTCTATAATTGACTAAATCCACTGTGCGGCGGCGGGACGTTTTACGGGGCGGCCGAGCCGGGCCGCGGAATAAGTGGAACATATTCGGCTCGCACACAATGTGAAGGATGGATATTTTTAAACCGAAGATTGACGTAACCTACAAAAACACGGCAGAAAAGGGCTCAAATTCGTCTACAGGCCGCCGCCGTGGGAAACATGCCCTACGCTAATTGACATAGCCTCGCCATCCAAATCAAAGGTATCGCCGCCGATGAAGGAGTTCAATGCAGGTATTTTAAGATATATCCACGGTATAATTGCAAAAACGCGTATCTTGTTTCCAGTGTTTTAAAATCTACTCTCCTAGTTTATTTCTTTGAAGCGCCCCGTCTACATACGAACTGGAGCTCTCAGGCTGGCTATAATTCTTTGATTTCTCGGTCAGCTTTCCACAAGCTTTTCAATATCTTTCAGTCTGATAGTCATACTATGCTTCAAATGTGTCGGTTACATTCAAGGTTATCTCCTTTTCTGTAAAAATGAATCAATATGATCCTCCACGGGAATAACCAATAACCCTTGTTACCCGTGGTCAAATTTTCAGGGGGGTTATTTTTATCAACTAGGTTGAAAGTAAACTTTTCAGTTTCCAGAATAATCATAAAAAATGTGCCTTTTTAAGGTTACACTCTTTTTTTTCAGGAGAGGCCCAAGTGGTACTCAAAGTGCAATCGTGCGCCCGTCCTTTCAAAGATTCAGTTCAGTCCTTTGTCAATTGAGTCTATTTTTGATACCCTCAATTAAGTGGACTGTGTTTAGCAGAAAGGAACCAAGCTACATCAGCAATTGCCAAATTTAACTGGGTAATTTAATTTTTTACGAGAGAATGTTTGCGCACAGTTCTTGGACAGTTTTCAGGAATTCACTTCTTACTGTTCAGAAAATTCACTAAAATTTGAACACAAATCCGCACAATCGTTTTCGAATTAAATTTGGCAATAGCTGATGTGGCTTGGTTACTTTCTGCGCGTAACGCAGTTCACGTACCTCCGGTAATCCAGGATTGCGCGAAAGGTCTAAGAAAATGTATGCGGATTGCGCGAAAAAGGCACAAGGAATGCGCGAATCTAAAATGAAGTTAACTCAAGATTGAAGTTTGGCAAAACAGGAAACAGTTGGAAAATTAAACGCATGTTTATGCTAACACATGTTTATGCGAACGCTAGTTTAGGTTAGTTTGTTGACAAGTCATCGATGTCTTACCTTCTAATGATAAATGAAGTGAACTTATCTGGATAATGGTCGTGGGTATAAAGAACTTTCTTAACTCTTCTCGGAAAAATATTTAATCGGGAGAAACGAAGCAACGTTAGAATGTTCATACGGCGTCGAAATACAATATGGGCCAGATGGGCCTTTTAAGCTCTATTTTTCGATGCCGCGATTATTCTTACGCAAGTTTGTATAATCGCGCCAAACACAATGCGGCTGGCGTTAAACGTATATTAGCGCCTGCAAGACTTAAGGAATACTTCACACAGCGGTCACAAAGTACGGTCGGCGGAGGGCCCATATTAGCGCCTACAAGACTGCATGGATACTTCTCGCATTGCGCCAAACGCAGTGCGTCGGTCAGTTGGCGTGAAACGCACATTAGCGCCTACAGGACTTTTGGAATGCTGTAGGACTGCGTGTCATCATTCTGTCACCAGTATCTCTTGGTTCAGCGTGCCTGGAGGAAAGGTATAGACGAGGACCCGCAAAGAAGTCATTCTGGGACACTAGATAACTCAATCAGGCCTTGCTCAGTGTTCCCCCAAGCAAAAAAAGACTCGTGGCTTCATTCTCATTAAGAGGGGCTATTGGCAACTACCAAGAGCGTCGCAAGGCTAGAATATCACTCATGCAAATAGCATCTTGAGAACGTTCCTTACTTGCACAAAATCATCATCAAAACCCGGGGGACACATTTCATGAGTTAGTGCCTTCCTTCCAATCTTTAATTTTTCGAACTTTCATCATTTTCAGGAGAGGTTGAAAGAGGCTAACCTCATGCCGTACACGGTGCGCAAGTTGACCCTCTTTCATATTCTCCAAGCATCCGAAAATTCTAACAGAAATGGACTGCGACAAGCAAAGAGGAACCAAGCCACATCAGCTATTGCCAAGTTTAATCGAGCAATTTAAGTTTTTACATGAAAAAGTTTGTGCGGATTTTTGTGCAAATTTTAGTGAATCTTCTGTAGAGTACAAGGCAAATTCCTTAAAAAATTTAAGGGAATCCGCACAAACGTTCTATTGTAAAAATTTAAACTGTCCTCTTAAATTTGACAATTGTTGATGTGGCTTAGTTCCTTTCTGCGAAACGCTGTCCAAATGTGGGGGCATTCGTAAAAAATATATTACATTCTCATTAAAACAATGTCAATAACTATTTTTCGTCATGGGGAGGGGGGGGGGATTGAGGAATTTTGACAATCCTAGAGTTGGTGCCCCACATGAGTGTGTTTATTTTGTGTCCTGTTGCGACGGTCCACGCCACTGCGTCTGTTTGGGTTCACGATGACTCATTATGCCTAGTTTTTCAGGAGAAGGTTAAATTGTGTCAGAAAACTTAACATAGGTACTTCTGATAGTCATTACAGTTTGGATGCACACACTCATCGAATAAAACTTTGAAATACCACTATTCGCTCTTGTGAGAGCTCGTATTGCCTACTTCGTCAAATGAAGGCTGAATAGTGTGCTATAATGTGTTTAATATCGCTCGTGGCAACATTGATAAACAAGACAACTTTAAGTAATATGCGGAGAAGATAAGGACCTTAATTTGCCTTAAAATGGCTATAAAAAGTTTCTGCGTGCAAATTGATGCGGTTGGCATAATTTTTGTTGAACGATTTTGTGTGCAAAGGAATTAAATCAAAGGACACTTTCTGCATAGAAGTAGCTCTTTTTGATTCTATCATTTTGCACATAATTCTGTTCTGCATAAAAATTAAAATATACTCTTCAGTATCGTTATTTTAGGACTAAGGGTAAGCTTTGAAGTCATACCGAATGTTAAAGGTTATTTTTCTGTGTTCACATTTCGAGCTTAAAAATATAGCTAATTTTTAATGAATGCTGAAATTTGATTATAATAAACATGCAGGTTGCCTATATATAATGTTCTCATTTATTAGTCTTTGAGATGGACTTTTTAACACGTTATAAGGAAAATAACTTAATATACATCTTCGTTTTTATGTAAAACTGCACTGGAAAATGCGTTAATTTTAGCTTTTTTGAGCAAGAACGAGTGAAAACGTAATATATGGAGGTCAAATTACGCACCTTTGTAACAGAGCGAGACTCTGAAAGTGCTGGTAATAAAAAGTTAAAGTACCGCGAAAAAATGAATATTCGAGCGCTTTACATTATGCACGGCGAACCAGTCTAGGCAATATTCGCACCTTGAAAAGCTCGGCAGCTGGAGTCGAGATTCGTGGCTCCGCCTGCCGAAATTCGGTAGAATGGTCATTGTGCGACACTACGTGTCGAGATTTTTGCAGTTGCATGAATCGAAAGAAAAGTGATGTTGGTTTAACATGTTGGATGTAAAATTAGTGCGCGAGAACTCACAAAATGCTGAATTACCCGCCACAGCAGTTAGTTTTACATCTTGACATCGCTGAAGAAACTGCTGTAGCGGTTAATTCAGCATTTTGTAAGTTCTCGCACACTTTTTTAACATCCAGAACGTTATATCAGCTTCCCGTTTTTTTCGGTGTGCCGAATGTTAGCAGCCGGAACCGATGCTTGGCTCTAGCTGCCGAGCTTTTCGAAGTGCCAATATTACCAAAAAATGCTCCTCCGTAAAGAGCTAAAAAAGATTCGTTTAGGATTTTCCCCCTCCCATTTTTGGTTTGCGTATGGAGATGTTGCATGTATGAGGAA